ATTTGCAAGATCAAAAATCAGTCTACACTGGCCTTAGGGAGAGATTACCAGTCATTTCCAAAATGAACTGTCATTATTTATTCCCCCTCACGTCATTCTAAACCTATATGGCTGTCTTCTTAGGAAATGTCTCTTTTTTTGTCCATACAACAGAAGTCAGCAGTAACCAAAACAACTTTTTTTGGTTGAACTATTCCTTTAATACAACTAAACAAGCTCCCGTTTCTTAAAAAACGAACCGTCTTGACTCACATAATTCATTAATCGTAAAGGGAGCTGTCGTGTTTTCTTTATGATGATGCACGCATAATCAGCTTTAGCATGTAGTTATTTATTAACACTTTTCAGCTACGCAACATGAGTGCTAACTCCTCAGCAGTAAAACACACAACCCAACATGCCTGATTTGCATTACCTATACTGACAGGTGATACAGCCAATAGGAACAGAGAATACGTTGTTTCTGACATATGATTGGCTGAGCCAAACGTAAGAATACTACATCCCCTTTCTTATAAAATAATACAACAAAGTACAAAATTCTGTGTAGCATATTAAGTAAAAAAAAGAATTCCGTTTTCAAATTATATGCACACTAGTAGAAGGGGAGGCGTAAGAAACGGTAACGCCCAAAGACCGTGTTGAAAGTAGTTAGTCTTGATGACTCCTCAGTGAGCTTAATGGCCCAATAACCCGATCTGGCATCTAGAACGCTAAAATATTTGGCACCAGCGAGCTTGGATGTTATATCTTCAAGAATGGGTAAAGGGTAGTGAGGTCGGTTAATGGCCTTGTTAAGGTCCCTTGGGTCCAGGCACACTCTCAGCTGACCTGTGCGTGGTTTTTCGGCAACAACCATGGAGTTGACCCATTCGGTTGGCTCTGTGACTTTAACGATAACACCCTGTCTTTCCATGCTCTCAAGTTCCTCTTTAAGACGGCTGCGTAATGCAAGAGGAATACATCTGGGTGGATGAACTACTGGGGTTGCATGCGAATTTGTAACGTGCAAATATCACATTCGCTTTGGGCTCAACGTATGTTGTGAAGCGGTCGTAATAGGACTTTAAGATCTTTGCTTCATCTGCAGACAGTGACCATGTATTAAAAATGTCTCTGCCCTTTTCTCCGACCCATAGGAGAAGATAACTAAATTTTTCATCCTCACCCTTTTGCTTTAGGGGTCCGCTGAACATTAACTCTGCGTGCTGCTGAAATTTGCGCCATGACTCGGGCAGGTTAGTTGCTTCCCAGTTCATCGTGGGCATTGGGACTCCGGCAGCATCCATCTTTTCTATATATCATCCGTTCACTCTGACACCATGTCGTGTTTTCTTTATGATGATGCACGCATAATCAGCTTTAGCATGTAGTTATTTATTAACACTTTTCAGCTACGCAACATGAGTGCTAACTCCTCAGCAGTAAAACACACAACCCAACATGCCTGATTTGCATTACCTATACTGACAGGTGATACAGCCAATAGGAACAGAGAACACGTTGTTTCTGACATATGATTGGCTGAGCCAAACGTAAGAATACTACAGGAGCGTCCCAGTTTCTGTCGCGTCGCTAGGAGTGTAAATGGGGTGTAACATTTTTAATTAAAACGGAATTTAAATCGATGTATAGAGTGCTCGGACGCAAATATAGGTCAGTAGAACAAGCTGGTTTAAAAAAAAACTGAAAGCGTTGCAAACAAAATGGCGGATGCCGACATGTTCTTCGTTTTTCCTTTTCACAAATAACCCATAAATGCTTCAAATACGTCTATCGCTTCAGTAACATGTGCATAAGATCACTAAATGTCCTCACCATGTGCGAGTGACCCAGAAAGAAAATCTGGGGGAAATTACGAGGTGCGTTTTGCATCAGATGCTGTTTTGGCAAATCCTATATCGACTATAATAAAACGCGAAATCATATTGCATTGGCCGAATCTTACCATTTGACCCCATAATCGCGCGTGAAATCCTTTTAGGAGCTTGAGCAGAAGACCACCGTAAGCAATGCTGCAGCCTATGAATTGTACCTGCTTCTTCTTCTTTCAGGTTTAATGGCGGTTGGCAACTCATCTCAAAGGTGCATTACCGCCACCTACTAGACTGGAGTGTGGGCATTAGACTGACATCAAAGGAGTGGAAGAAGAAAAAATAAAAATAAAATAAAATAGAATAAACAAAATTTCCCTATTAAATTCTTTCACTTAACCCAGTGTTTTTCAAAAATAGCATTAATAAATTGCATATTCTCCCAGATGTTTTCCCTAATAAATGCTCAAGTGTCATGCTTTGTTCATCCATTTGTGCCTTTAATTCTGCCCTATCTTCTTCATATTTTTGCAGTCTAACCGTATATGCTTCACTGTCTCTTGTACATTACAATAAGTGCATAATCCAGTGGGATGTTTTCCTATTCTGTGCAGTGTTGTCTTTAAACCAGTGTGCCCCATTCTAAGACGTGAGACTAACATCTCCTCCCTTGGGCTTCTGCCCTTCCTCATGCTTGTGACTACTTGATTTTGTATACTGTATAAATGACGTCCTGTATCCGCTGTGTTCCAATATTCCTGCCATATTTTAAGTGAATGTTGCTTTATGATGGTTTTGACCTCTGCTCTACTTATTGGTACGTGTACATCTACTGTTTCATGCTTTGTAGAGTTTTTTGCTAGCATAAAAATTGTACCTGCTCCTAGTCGAATGTGCTGTTGTGTGACATGAGACTAAATTAACTCCTCCTCCTCCCAGAGGCCCTCCCCGACTAATGTTTAGTGCTAACTGCTAACAACAGTGGTCTGCTTTTCTTGTCACGGAGAGAAAAGCTACTGGATGAATTACTTCAGGGGTTATTAAATAATATCTGGATGCAGCCATATGTGGTAAAAGGTCTCCAGCGTGCATGTATGTATAGCGCTGTGATTTTAATTGAATCATGTTGCAAAACGGACCAAATGCAGTGTAATGTTCAATAAAGGCAGAAAACCGCAAACTGCTCGTCTGAATTTATTTATTATACGTTTAGACATAATGAAGAACAATGGAATTATACAATAATTACACGACTTGTGTCGTTATGGCAGCTTGTTTCCGCCATGGAATAAAAATAAAAGTAATTTGCAGCTTTTTATCTTGCAATTCGGACTTTTTTTCTTCTCAGAATTGCGAGATATAATCAATGCGAGTTATAAACTTTATAACTCACAAATCTTTGCGTTGTGTTTAGCTATATCTTGCAATTCTGAGAAAAAAAGTCAGAATTGTGGAATAAAAAGTCGCTATTTATTTATT